CTCTCTGGTTTCAGGGTGCATCACCTGAGAACCACCTCTGCCAAGTCACTGCAGCTCAGCAGCTCCTGCATTGAGCATCTGCCCCCTGGTGGTCAGTGTGTGTCATAGCTACTGATCAGATGGACACTTAGCATATTAGCCTTTTATATATATAGAAGATTTGATAAAACTGTTGCAAATTAATCATTGTTATGCTTCTTCTTTTATAAAACGTGTTTAGCCACATGTAAACAAAAGTTTATTTTGAGGATTAACTCATGAGAATAGTTGCCTCCTATTTAAATCTTTTAAATCACATCTCTTAGAGGAAGGCAGGCCAGCCTCAGAATGTTTTCTTCTTCTCTTCAAGAATTTAAAATTAACTGTGTATGTTACAACATAGAGAAATTTGTAAATTCATGAAGATGAGGACTGTATTTTACACATGTTTGTATTCCTCACAGCCTCACACATTGCAGGTTAATCCATGCTTATGCAATATTTGAAGAACATAAAATTATATAGAAAAGAACCCAAATTATTTTCTTTGAAAGTGATTATGTAAGGATCATCTCTAAATTAGCAATATTCTTAAAATCAGGATAGATATTTTTCTGTCCATCTGCATGCGCCTAGGGGCACATACACCTTTGTGCATTGTATCTGCTTGTTTTTATACAAGTGAAAGGAGGCTCAGACCTGCTGAATGCTAGAAACCATAAAATAATTCCCAGTCACTATTTCCTGTTTTCCAGTTCTTTCATGCTTTTAAAATACGAAGTTACCTTACACACCATTTCACTCTTTAACTGAAAGTTGTTCATTTCAATATTTATGAAGGCCCCAGGGTGTCAGCTGTGTGGGCAATGTTATTAAAATACATAGGATGCAGTCTTTGCTCTTAAGAATGTCACTGCATGGTGGGATCACAAACATGTAAACCTGTGCCATTCAGTGTCAGAGGTGCTGTTACGTGGTTAGATAACGGCGTCTTAGAGAAACAAAAGTGGGAGTGGTCACTTCTTCCGAGGGGGCCAGGGAAGCTTCCACAGGGGCAGTGGCACTGGATCAGAGTTGAATTGAATGGGAGCTTTCAAGACAGGCCAGATTAAGAGAACTTTAGGGCAAAGGGGGGAGCATGGGAAGGGGCTTGTGATGAGGTTGGAGAGCATTATGTAGGGCCTTCTGTGGTACATATAGAAGTTTGGACTTTATGCTATGTAGGCAGTAGGGAACTGATGAATACATAATACAATCAGCTTTTTGTTGTAGAGATTTATTCTAATAACCATGTAGAGAATAAAGTAGGTTATTTATGTTTTCTTAAAACAGTGTTTATAGAACACAAATAGACCAAACATTAAATTTTCTTCCTCATTGCCTTAAATAGAATTTTACAAAAATCACAATACACTCGCTTCTGTAATTTGAATCTCCAAATGATTTGTTCTTTGGATAAGTTACATTTTACAGCATTTCAATACTTTGTGTTTGGGCTTAAGAATTATAGACTCTACCCAGCGTAACATTAGATGCTAGAGTAGTGCAGCAATGAAGCTCACAGCAATCTCCCCAGTACCCATTCTCCCACAGTCCTTTACATCTAGTTCCCCAAGCCAAACGCTGAGAGTTTCCTTGATTCTCTTCTCTCCTGTCCTTCATGCCTGTCAGTAACTTCAGTGGATTCTGCCTCCAAAATAACATCTCAAATTGCTCTCCTCCTGTCCATGTCGGTGTTGCTAGAACTTTATTTGGGATCGCTGCCTTGGACTCCGGCAGCAGCCTCCCACCTGGCCCCCACGGCCCTTCGCACCCGTTTCCCCATGCTCACCCTCCTGCTGCGAACATCTCGCTAGCTCTTTGCACTTAGAATAAAGAGCCAGCAGCTCCTGGCTCTCGTCTCCCTTCGCTTCTGACACTCTCCTCCTGCTCCAGCTATTACTTGCCCTCACAGTGGCCTTGGAACACGTTCTCTTCTTCCAAGAAGCTCTTATTATTCTGTGCCTGGCAGGTACTCTCTGAAGTTAATAGCGTAATGATACCACCATAATAACACTTTCTGCCATTTATTGGATGTTTTCTGTAACCCAGACAGTGTAAGTGGTCTCCAGGCATCAGCCTGTGATTAAATTAGGTGCAACAAGCTTGTGAGGTTGGTATTATTATTCCCATGTTTTAGGAGAGGAAACGGGCACAGGGAGCTGGGGTAACTTGCCCAGGTCATAGCTCGTGTGTGGCAGAGCCAGTCTGGAAGTTTGTCTGTCAGCGTCCAAATCGAGCTCTTTGCTACCAGAGTTTCAAAAGTATTTTGTTAGCATTAAGTTTTAGGGATCTCTCAGCAATTCCTAGAGAACAGTCTTAGAGTAGGCTACTGTATAGAGAAAATCTGAAATCGAAGGTAAACAGGAATATAATTTAACTACCTTATTGGTGACAACAAACTTTTTTCTTAATGTTTTATGTCTTGTTGATAATAAAAGACAGTGTAGTGTATAGGTTGGGAGTAAACTCTTCACTCAGGTAGGTGTGGATTAAATCTTGATAACTGCTATATATGAACTGGCACTTGAGATATACCAGTGTGCAGCCTGGTAGGGTGAATTTAATTCTGTTTCTATAAGCTGGTTTTGTCTTGGAGGCTCATGATATCCTTACTGCTTTTCTGTGAATTCGGTGGAAATGTGATCCATCTTGGACCCCATCTAAGGGGATCTATTAGAGTTAGTCCTATGACCTGTCTCCTGAGGACAATCTCATAACAAGGCTGTAAGTTTATTTGCTATAAGTGTAGTTTCCTGCTTTCTTCCTTTATTTTTTACTTCAAATTGAAATGAAACATTAAATTTTATTTTTTATGTATAATAAACTCAAGGACCTTCTAATAGGGATAGCACAGTAAACACAATAAATATGTAAATTACACGATACATTAGAAGATAGTACTTTGTGTGGGGGAGTAAGACCAAGATGGGGAGATACAGAGAGCATGTTGCTGGGTTAAACTGGCGGTCAGTGAGGTGGGTCTCACTGAGGAGGTGAGGGGGGTGGGCAGATGGATATCTGAGGGGAGGGCAGTCCAGGTGGAGGGATCAGGTAGTATCCAGACCTAAGGGAGGAGAATATATGCCACCTAAAAGCAAAGCATCCTTGCGGGTGGAGGAGACCAAGTGTAGGGGAGATGACTATGTGAGGTTGGAGGGGTTCCAAGCATTTTGATGGTGATGATGAAATGAACTTGGATAAAGCACTTAGCACAGGGTCTGGCCCAGGGTTACAGAGCCCCTGCCTACCTCTTCCAGCCACATCTGCTGCTTCCCCTTGTAAACTCTTCTTTGCATTCATAACTGAAAGCTTTTTGAAGATTTCCCAAATATCCACGGTGTTTTAAACCTTTCTAATTTTGCACACACCTGAAATTCCCTTCTTCATCCCTTGCCATTCTGATAAACTCCTCAGAGAGGACGTTGGGTACCTCTGAGCAGAGCTGATGCTTCTTTCTCTGGACTGCCATGCACAGTGCTTTGAACGTGTGTTTGTTATAGCAACATGTGTCACTAGCTGGGTGCTATTTAACGACCACATGCTGTGTGCCGTGCAGTAAGTCCTTTACGTGTTCTTAATTTACTTATCACAACAACCCCAGAAGTTATCCCATTTTATAGATGAGTAAAGGCACAAGGAAGTTTAGTAATTTGTTTAAGATCATCCAGCTACTAAGTGATGGCACCAAGAGTTGAACACTAGATTTTTGGCTCCAGAGCCCATGCTTTTTTTTTTTTTCTTTTTAAAGATTTATTTTTAAATTATAGTTGACATACAATATTATCTTAGTTTCATGTGTACAACATAGTGATTGGAGATTTATATAACTTACAAAGTTATCACCCTAATAATTCTAGTACCCATCTGACACCATGTGTAGTTATTATAATACTAGAGGCCTGGTGCACAAAATTTGTGCACTGAGGGGTGTGTCCCTCAGCCCAGCCTGCACCCTCTTCAATCTGGGATCCCTCGAGGGATGTCCGACTGCCCGTTTAGGCCCGATCCCACAGGGCAGTTGGACATCCCTCTCATAATTCAGGACTGCTGGTTCCCAACCGCTCGCCTGCCTGCCTGATTGCCCCTAACCACTTCTGCCTGCCAACCTGATCACCCCCTAAACACTCCCCAGCCAGCCTGATCAACGCCTAACAGCTCCCCTACCAGTCCGATCGTCCCCAACTACCCATCCCTGCCGGCCCGATCGCCCCTAACTGCCCTCCCCTGCCAGCCTGGTCGTCTCCAACTGCCCCCTGTGAACCTGGTCCCCCCCAAACTGCCCTCCCCTGCAGGCCATCTTGTGGCAGCCATGTTGTGGCCACATGGGGGTAGCCTTCTTGTGTGTTGGAGTGATGGTCAATTTGCATACTGGGCATGACTTACCGGCCCATCACTCCTAACTGCCCTCTCCTGGCAGCCATCTTTGACCACATGGGGGAGGTCATCTTGTGTGTTGGAGGGATGGTCAATTTGCATATTACCTCTTTATTAGATAGGATTATTGACTGTATTTATGATTGCTGCCAGATGGGAGGGGGGCAGAAGGGAGGGGGGGAAAAGGTGTAAGCAATACAAATTTTCAGTTTTAAAAATAGTCATAGGGATGCAAAGCCCATGCTTTTTAAAATCATTCCATTATATGACGTCTCTACCCTTTGCACCATTTATTAAATACTTACTAATGCAAGTCATGGTGTGCATCCGACTGTATTGTGAGGGCTAGTTTGTGTGTTTGTGCCTTTCAGGCTGTTTGTGACTATTTGGAAGTCAGGGAACTGAGCAATTACCATTGCTCTTTAGGACTTTGCACATGTGCTCCTTTGGTTGAACAAAAAGGAGAAGAAAATATTCTCTCATGAAATTTGTGGGACATGGGAAGCAATATTCAAAATATTAATGATAGTGTGTCATTGATTGTGAATTTTATTTGGTTTTGGATTTCATTTTAATCATGTCATTGTGCTTTGTCTTCTCTCCAGACCAGTATTAAAGAGGGACAACTGTTGAAGCAAACCAGTTCTTTCCAAAGATGGAAAAAGCGATACTTCAAGCTTCGAGGCCGTACACTTTATTATGCAAAGGACTCAAAGGTAATTTGAGAGACTACTAGTTGCAAGCACCTGAGGTTGTGGATGGATTTAAAATTTTGGTTATCTAAACTGTTTTTGTCTTGGGGCTCACTATAGCCTTTCTGCTCTTACATGAATTCAATATAAATGTGACCTATCTTGGACCAAATCCCAAGGGAGCCCATTTGAGTCAGTTTCATGGCATGTACCATAAGGAGAATGGAATAGGAAGGTTCTAGTGTAGTTTCCTTTCCTCCCTGCTTTCGTGCTTCCTCCCTCCCTCCCTCCCTTCCTTCTTCCTTCATTTCTTCTTTCCGTTTTCTTCCAGCCTTTTTTCCTTCCAATTAAATAAAATATTAAATGTAATCTTATTAGATAGAATAAACTCAGAATTTTGGATTTTCTCCCATTTCTTGCTATTTTTTTACATTATAAATATTTTCCTAACCGTGAGTGAGAGCATTGCTATACTAGTGACGAATCAGAGTTCCTATCCCAGTTCCAGCATATTCCAGAGCAGTGCTGTGGACGCACGTGATCGTGAGAGGCGGCTAAATGACATAATAGACATGAAGTGCTTACATAGTGCCTGGCACACAAATAATCACTCGTTATGCTAGAGGTTAGAAATAAAAATCATAGCCTGGCTGGTGTGGCTCTGGTTGATCATCAACCTATGACCCAGGAAGACACAGTTTGGTTCCTGGTTAGGGCATTTGCCTGGGTTGTGGGCTCAGTCCCCAGTATGGGGTGTGCAGGAGGCAGCTGGTCAATGATTTTCTCTCATCATTGATGTTTCTATCTCTCTCTTCCTTCCTTTCTGAAATCAATAAAAAAACATTTTAAATTATTTAAAAATAAAAATCACAGTGAAATAAAAATAAGACTTTAAATAATTTTTATATAACCATTGAATAAAATAAGAGTGATGTAGTTTTGAACGAAAAAAATTATAATGATTGTTTCCATTTAGATCTGATACTTTAGGATTCTTTAAAAAATAAACATTAAGATTCTTAGTACTGTGTCAATTTAGTTATTTCCATATTAAAGAACTTAAGTTCCTGATGTAATTAGTAGCATTATACACCAAGAAGTAAAAACAAATCAACAAACAAAACCTAAATCTTAGTTTATGCAGCTGTAGAAATAATAACCAGATAAAACAGTCTTGTTTTAAAAGTTGTTATGTGTAGGCTTGTTCCTGGTCTGGCCCCATCCTGACATCACCTGTATCTGTAGGCCGCACTGACCAGCCAGTCTCAGCCTTGCCCGTGGTCTCCCATCTCCAGTGACCTTCCCTCTGTCTCCACTTGACAAAATTCCCTGTTATTTCTAAAATCCCCCCTCAAATAGCTTTTATTTCATTAGTCACAAGAGAAAGAG